AACAATGAAGTCATTTTATGAAAGCAAAAATATAACCACAGTAAAAGTAAATAAACATTAGCGAAGAGATATAAAAAGAAAACAAATCAAAACGAGAGAGAGAGAGGGAGGAGATAAAGAGAGAAGGAGGGGGGGAGGGGATGCTCGGAGGCATTGGCGCTATTTCGGCCTAAAGTTTAGTTTTCTTTTCTTTTAATTCTCTCTCTTTTTTTTTTATTCCTTCGTTTACCTCATCGTTAATTTCCATTTTTCGGCTTTTTTTTCTTTCTATTTTTTCTAACCCTTCTAAGTTATCCTTTCTCTGAGTTTTTTCCTCCTCATCATACTGTTTTAATTATCTTCACCATATCTATTATCCTGGAAGGAAACGAATCATGATGGAATCTGCAGAGAAAACGATAAAAATATGATATCGGAATAGCGAGGGTTACTATCGATTTTTTCATTTAACACGTTTCCTTCTTTTCACTTGTATTCGCTTTATTTTCTTTGTAGAAAATAGAGCTGTTTCCTGTGTTTTTTTGTTTCGCATATTTTATGGATTTCGACCCTTTCTTACTTTTTTTCTTACTCGCCTATATTTTCTAATTATTGGGACGTTTCTCTTCATAATTCTTATTCGAATTTTTATCACACTCTTGAGGCTTATATAAGTTAAGGCTTGTGTTGCTGTCCTACACACATAAAAATACACAAGAGGGAAAAACTGATTGCAATCGGCGGGCGTCTTGTAATTTTTGTGCCCGGGGCTTTCCATGTCTTTCAGCCCCGGGCGAGGTTGCAACCAGAGGGAGCACTTTTGGCTCCCTTTTGCAGATTCGAACTCGCGATCGCGGGTTTCGAATCTGGCGCCCTTACCCTCTCGGCCACGGTGTCGAGGGGCAACAGAATTGGGTTGGGAGAGGTATTTTTGCAACCTGTCTGTGAATGCGTGTACCTATGAGTGAGTGTGAGATGATGCGTCATCGATGATGATTATATAACAATGATGCTGAGGATAATGGGTGTGATAATGTAATAAGCTCTAGCATGATAATGATGAACAATATTAAATAAGATTGCCAGTTTGAAAGACATAGAAATTGCCCTGATGTAGAAAACAAGTCGTTCCTGTTGGTTAGTATTTATGTATGTGTACCTATGCGTGTGCGCGTAGGCCTTTTGCAACTTCGGTTAGGTCAATAAAAATCACCATTTTTCCTGTTTCATTGCAGGACGTCAGATAAAAACCTCATTTTCTTTTATCTTATTTTCGCTTCCTCTTTAATAACTTATTTTGGAGAGAAATCTTTGCGAGCAGTCGAGGAAAGAACATGGTCTGTAATCCGATGGCTCGTCAGGCACCTTGACCGATGTAAGAATTGCGATAACGAAGTGACTTTAAACTGATCTAACTTAAGACGTGTCATTTATTTTCCGAATCCAAGTCCGATGCTCGGAGCACTCGGCCACCACGCCCTCGATGGGTGATGTCGCAGAAATTTTTAAATGTTGCCGAGACCCTTCCTCCGCTGTCGCCTTCAGATAGGTAAATAGAGAGGAGGGGGGGGGGGAAGGGGAAGGGGGAGAGAACAATAATAATAATAATTATGAAGATACTTAAAACAATAATAAAATAATAAAAATGACAGCTATGATGATGAAAACGATAATACAAATGATAATGATAACAATGTTAGAATTCGAACTAATATAAAAAATAATATTAACAAAGAAAATTGAATAATGAAATCAATAATGATAATTGCAATAATGATTACAATGATGTTGATGGTAATAATAATAACAAAAAATATTATATTAATTATGACGATAATGACAATAGTAATCATGATAATAATAGAAAATATAGTATAATAGTAATGGTAATAGTAATAATAATAAGCATAATGACAATAATAATGATAATGGTCGAAATTTTAATAACAATAATGATAGTAATGATAATTGTAGTAATGATAATTATAATCATAACAATAACACTAAAATGATGATTAAAATTATAGGTCTTATGATATTCATGATATTATTAATCATAATAATAGTGATAATAATGACAGCAAAGGTGATTATAATAACAGTAATACATATATGATAATAATGATAGACGAGAAATTAATCACACTAATAACAATAATGATAATGATGATCAAATAATGATAGTAATGATAATGGTAATAATTATTACAATGATACTAATAGTATTAGTGATAAAAAAATATGATAATAGTTATGATGATAATAGAGGTAATAGTATTGTGGTAATGGTAATAGTAATAATAATAACCAAAATCATAATATAAATATAAATGAAATTATAATAACAATAGTAAAGATAATTGTAATAATAATAGTGATGAAAATTATTATGGTAGCAATAAAAATGATGATTAACATGATAATAATTTTATACTTCTTTGCCAGTGTGTGATATGATGATACCCATAGTGATTATATGACGATGATGCGACAATGACGGAAATAATGGGTGGGGATGGTATTAAACAGTACCATGATAATGATTTTAAAAGTGTCAAATAAGAATGATTTTCAAACTCGGAAAATAAATAATTGACGTCTCGATTTAGATCATAAGCACAGAAAAGTCCCCCATCAGTTCGAAGTCACTTCGTTATCGCAGTTCTTACGTCGGTCAAGGCAGCTGACGCAGCCATCTTGATGTTTTGCCGCGTTTTGTTTGGTCTGTCCAGTGAGTTGCTGTGTAGGCGTCGCGCATTGTTTGATATTTTTCGCCTATTTTGCTAGTGAATGATGGTTTGTCGGTCGTGTGGTGCGTGTGTTGTGATGGTGTGTGTGTTGTGTGTGTGTGTGTGTTGTGGTTGTTGACGTCGTGTGTGTCTGTGTGTGTTTGTTCTGTGTGTGTTGTGGTGTGCTAGTGTGTGTGTTGGTTAGCCTTACATACTTAGAGTCCATTACATTTTGGGGGTGATCCGATCGTAATCCGATCCAGGATTTTTTTTAATGATTGCATTCGCACCCCTTTCGGCTCGCCTCCGCCGAGGAGCGGCATGTTTACGGAACGTCATACCGTGTACTTGAGAAAGGTGAGTTTTATGAAATTCTTTTGTGAGTAGTTAATGCAACAGTGACCCTTATGCCTTGGCTGAGGTATGCGCTAAATGCCCGTATTCTAAACTCGACTGCTGCAAATATTTCTTGCCAAAATAAGCTATTTTAGTGAAAGCCAAACAAAACAGAATGAGGTCTTGTTTTAAACAGGAAAAAATGGTAGCGTTGTTATTGACTTACCATGAGTTGCACATGGCCCACACGCACACATCATTTACAAGCACATAGACATATAAAATAGAAAGCAGGGGGAAAACGGACTGCAACCGGGGCTTGTTTTCTATTATCATTATTCATTCTTTTATTGTTCGCACTTTAGATGCATTTTATACTTTCGCTTTAATCTCATTTTCACGCTTCTTTTGTTTTCACTTTTTTCTTCGCTTTATTTCGGTTTTATTAGCGCAGTTTTTTTTATTTTATTTATTCCGTAATTTTTCAGTCTTTCGCCATATTTACCTATTTTGACACAATATCTACTTTCACTTTTTTCTCATTTTTGCAATTATAAGGTCCGTTTCTAAATTTTCTCTGTTGTATTTATTATCGCGGAGATAAGCGCTATCTGAGTGCTTCAGGGTTAAAAGATCCTATTCTATACTCGTGCGACAGCTGTTTCCAGACTATAATCCTCGAAATATTATTTCTCGCCAAAATAAGCTCTTTTAGAGAAAGGCGAACAAAAACAGCGGATGAGGCTTATTTTTTAAACCAGGTTAAAATATGGAGGACATTTTGAATGAACCTTCATCAATGAGTTGCACATGAGCCCACACGCCCACACGTAAAAACAAATTACACAAATGGAATGCACAGCAGGTTGCCAATCAGTTTTTTTCCCCATGCTGTGGCATTTATATTGTATGTATGTTTGGCTTTCCTTTTGGCCCGCTCATCCTTCCTCTACTAAACCTTTCCCTACTGTCTTTTTCATTTCTTTATTTCTTTCTTTTTTCCAAACCACTTTGTTTTCGTTCCCTCTTCCCTNACAGCTTCCTTCCCCCTTATAGGAATAAATACAATTATTGAAATCCAGAAGCATATTGAATGAATACATAATATCACAAATATCACAATAGTTTGACAATATCACAATTATAAGTATTACAACTGCCCCGAAGCATACATCTAATACCATCACAATGGCTTGATTACACATAGATACAATTACATTTTTCCCGTAAGGATATAATTGTCAACATATCTGGCCGGAAGTTTACTTCTGGTAGACCTTTGCCGTAGCTCTTTCTTTTTAGGTATATCAGAAGGCATATTCTCCTGGTCTACTTTAACTTCCTTCTTTTCCTGCTGTATTGATTGATCTTGCTGCATAGGGAATTATGAACACCCTTTTAGATGTGATAACTTCAATTGATCAATGTGCCTTTTCATCTCTCGACCATCCTCATCTTTTACCATGTAATGCAATTTACTTAACTTTTGTACTACTTGTCCAAACCATATTTTCTTCTGAATAAATATACGATCTTATCAATACTTTATCTCCAATGTTAAATTCTCTATAGTCCTTCACACTCTCGTATACTCTTTTTGTCTACAGCTAATTTTGGTGTCATTGCATCTAACCTACATCTCACCCTCCTCCCATCAACAGAAATGAAGGTGAACAACCTGTGGTTGCATGAGGAGTGGTTCTATATGATAATAGGAACCTGTTTATGTTAGTGGTGAGACCAGATCTGCTACTGCCTCTACAGTTCATGTTAGACGAACTTCTGTACAAATCTATCTGCCTCACCATTCATTGCGGGGTGATACGGAGCACTACGAATGTGTTTGATGTTGTTCCCCTTACAAAAACTATCAAACTCACTTGAAACAAACTGAGGTCCGTTATCCGACACAATTTGCTCAGGAATACCATGTGTTGCAAATAGGGACATGAACACTCACACGGTGCTATATGCAGTTGTAGAGGTCATTTGTATAACTTCAGGCCACTTACTAAATGAGTCAACCACAATCAAGAAAGTGTGACCTCGAAATGGACCTGCAAAGTCAATGTGTACTCTCTGCCATGGAGTACTAGGTGTCTCCCAAGGGTGTGTCTTACATGGAGCTGGATTGTTCTGCTGGAATGCACATCCCTCACAATGTCTTACATAAGTCGTAATGTCATTGTCAATACCAGGCCACCACACAAAAGTACGAGCAATTGCTTTTGTGCGTACAATACCTTGGTGTTCGGCATGTAACTCCGCAAGAACTCTACCTTTCAAACGGTCCGGAATTATTACCCTGGTATTTCTCAATATACAATCCTGTACAACCGACAACTCTGTAAATGGCTTGTATCGCTGCTCCGACAATACATCCTTCTTATTTAGTGACAAACACTGTAAAACCCTAGATAATATGGGATCACTCTTAGTCTGACTTGCAATTTGCTTCAATGTAACCGGCAACTCGCATGCGTCTACTAACAAAATGCTCGATGATTCCTCACTGGAAGCCTGATCGACTGGCAGTCTCGACAGAGCATCTGCATTCCCCATCTTGGCTGTTGACCTATACTCTATGTCATAGTTATAGGCAGCTAGGGTTATTGACGATCTGTGTAAACGAGCTGCTACTAATTCCGGCAGACTCTTCTTTGGTCCCAAAATAGCTAATAGCGGCTTTGGTCCCAAAATAGCTAATAGCGGCTTTGGTCCCAAAATAGCTAATAGCGGCTTTGGTCCCAAAATAGCTAATAGCGGCTTTGGTCCCAAAATAGCTAATAGCGGCTTTGGTGGTTAAAATTAAATAGCTAATAGCGCTAAAATAGGCGGCTAAAATAGCGGCTTTGGTCCCAAAATAGCTAATAGCGGCTTTGGTCCCAAAATAGCTAATAGCGGCTTTGGTCCCAAAATAGCTAATAGCGGCTTAAGATCCGTTACTAATGAAAAGGTCTTTCTGCCACAGAGGTACATGTGGAACTTTTTAACACCATAAACCAAAGCTAATCCTTCTTTCTCTATCTGAGAATATCTCTGTTCTGCCTTATTCAGTACTCTTGATGCAAAAGCAATGGGTCTTTCAGTACCATCTTCCATATCGTGAGCTAATACTGCACCTAACCCTACTTGCGATGCATCACACACTAGTTTTACAGGCAAATCTTTATTGTAATGTACCAGAAATGTTTCTTTGGTTATTTCAGTCTTAATCTTGTCAAAAGCTTCTTGATATTTTATTGACCAGTTCCATGGAACTTCTTTTGCGGTCAAATTATACAATGGGCTAGCAATAGTGGCTAGATTCTTAACAAATTTACCATAAAATGTGACTAACCCTAAAAATGACTGTAATTCTTTAACATTCTCTGGCACTCTGGCACCATTTACTGCCCTAACTTTTTCATGTCATGGATACCTTTACAATCAATGTTGAAGCCTAAATACTCAAGGGATTTTACAAAGAAGTGACATTTACTTTTGTGTGTTTTCATTCCATTTTCCTTGATTTTATCTAAAACAGCCAATAATCTTTCAAGATGTCATTTTCCATCCTTTCCTGCTATCAAAACATGATCTACAAAACAAAATACTCTGGGTAAGGCATGGAATATCTTGTCCATGGTTTGCTGCCATATAGCTGGACTTGATGCTATTCCAAAAGGCAGTCTTTTTGGCCTGAACAACCCTAAATGAGTGCTCAGTGTACAAATCTCTTGTGACTTATCGTCCATCATTAATTGTAAAAATGCAGATTTTAAATCAATCTTTGAAAATACTCTGCAATCGCCTATAGCAGCTAACATATCCTGAATATTTGGAAGCGGGTGTTGTGCAACCTGCAGTTGTGGATTTACAGTTACTTTATAATCTCCACAGAGTCTTACATTAGTGTACCCCAATTTAAATAATTAACCTTCTCCCAGGTTCCTTCAGCCTCCAATCTGCGAATTTCTTGTTCTACAGCAGGCTTCAATGCAAACGGAATTTTCCTGGGAGACATGAACTTCGGAGCTGCCTCGGGTTGCAGTACTAATGAGGCTTGGCTATTTGCTACTGTACCTATACCCTCAGAGAAAACTTCAGGGTATAGTGGTATGTTTGTTTACCTTGGATACTTTCTCAAACCTTTGGCCAATTAAAGTTAATTTGGGATAACCATTGCAATCCTAAAAGACATTCGTCTCTCTCTTTCACAACATATAAAGGTAAATCTTCATGCACCTGATCTTCATACTTTACCATTACTTTAGTCATACCCTTTGCAGTCAACCCATGTGACCCATATGTCTGCAGTCCTTTATCTGCTGGCTGCATCTTAATACCAGGAATTGTCTTAGCTATATACTCCCGCAAGATAGTAACATTTGCCCCTGTATCTAGCTGCATTACTACTGGTTTGCCATTTAATTGAACATCTATATATATGCTACGGTTGCCTATATATAATATATATATGTATATATATTATAATATAATATTATAATATATATATATATATATATATATATATATATATATATATATATATATATATATAATATATATATATATATAAATATATATATTATGATATATATGATATATATATATATATATATATTATATATATATATATATATATATATATATATATATATATATATATATATATATATTATATATATATATAGTATATATAATATATATATATATATACATATATATATATATATTATAATATTATTAATATATAAATATATATATATATAATATAATATTATATATATATATATATATATATGATATTATATATATATATATATGTGTGTGTATGTGTGTATGTGTGTATATGTATACAATACAGTATATATATAATATATATAATATATATATTATATATATATATGATAATATAAATATAATATAATATATATATGCCCCCCTGTGGGGGGGTTAATGCACCTTCCCCACCAATATTTCCATCCGTGGTTGTTGTACTTAGGTGGGTCTCCTTGGGTGGCGTAATTATTCCCAAACCCTGACTCCTGCAATAATTTTTTTTGTGGGTTTTTGTGGGGTGGTGTGGGGTGGGTGTGGGTTGTTGTTTTTGGGGTGGTGGGTGTGGTTGTGGGGGGTGGTGTGGGGGTTGGGTCGGGGGCCGTTAGTACAGAATATTTATCCACTCCTTACGGTACGGGGGGGGGAGGGGGGGGGGTGGTGTGTGGGTGGGTGGGTGGTGGTTGGTTGGGGGGTGGTGGGGTGGGTGTACCGGGGTGGGTTGTGGTGTTTTACTACATCCCCTGTGGTATGTGTATCCGGGCTCCTTTGTGTTGGTGTGGGTGGTGGTGTGGGTATTATATTAAATTGTGTTGTTGGGGTTACCGCCATTTCTCCTATTTTACTTCCTATATATATCTTCTCTATTTAACCTACTATATATATATGCGGGATAGCGGATCGTGACTAAGTGCTAGGTGGTGTGTGTTGTATTTAGAATGAGTAGGTGGTTATATGAGGGGGGTATGGTCAGATATTAACTATATAGATAAAATAATATAACATATATATATTATATACACCAAACAACACACATCACAACACTACACTACCTCATACTTCACCCATTCACTCTCCCTCCTCTCTAACATCACACAACACACACCAACACACACACACACAATCCTATCTCTATCTATCACACTCATCCATCTCATCATCACCTACTCCTATATTATATATCATTATATAATTACCAATATAATAATTATAATAGTTCTCATTTTTTTATTTATGTAGTGTAGTATACTATCTCCTCATTAACATCGATGTGGTAAATAATACATAGTGTATATATATATAGGTATATATATTTCTTAGTGGATTATATATAATAGTTATACACAGCTTAATATATTGAGAAGTAGTTATATAGTGTGGATTATATAGTGGATTATTATGTAGTGAGTGGGTAGTATATGATATATAGTAAGTGTTTAGTATAGGGATTATAGATATGTGATAGTGTAGTGATGGTGGGGGTAGAGTAGGCAAGATGAGTAGTGAGAGTGAGTTATGTATAGGGAATGGTTAGTTATCTATCCAAATATAATATATTCATATGGTGTGCGGGTTGCTGTGTTGCGTGTCGGTGTCCACTATTCTAATTTTTGGGTGGTGATGGTGCGGTTTTTTTACTAACTGGGGGCGGAGTGTGTGAATTATATACACTATATATAGTGTACTATACTATATAATATGATAATATACGCCTCTAAAATTATGAACATTACCTCTTCTATTACTCTAAATATAAATAATCATCATATACACATAATATAAGTATACTATAATATATCATATCTACCATCACTATAGTCTCATCTCATATGTATAAAGGATATAGTATAGTATATTATAATACAAATATTAATTTATATATGGATAGGTTATTTTATGATATGTTAATATTTTTTTATTATGTGTAGTTTATTATTTTATTATTGTAATTACTATATACTAATAGATATATATATATATATATACATATATACATACACACACCCACACACCACCACACACACACACACACACACACACACACACACACACGACCACACACACACACAACACACAACACATTATATATAATATATAATATATATATATATATAATATAATATATTATATATATTATATAATACTACAAGGTGATGCAAGTCATACGTTTTGCCTGTTACTGTTTTGATTGGTTAATTTTATATTATATTATGGTATTATTAGTATTTTATTATCATCATTAATATTATATATTATATATTACTAATTATTAGATATTTGTTGTTGTTATTTACTATCATTACTGTTAGTATTATCCATTAACCTATACTATTATTATCATTATTACCATTATCATAACTGATCATTACTATTATTATCATTGCCTTTCATTATCATTATCATGATTTTTATTATTTAATAATATCATTAATCATTATTTTTTCATATTTTTCATTATCAGTTATCATTAATAAGGATTTGTCATCACGATAATCATCGTATATTATAAATTCATATTACGCACAAATTTAAGCATCATCATATTTTTTGCTACTCTTTCTTTCATTTAGTAGCACCAACATCTTCTCCGAAATTGCCAAGAACCCTCAGCATAGATTCCCTGTGCCGAAGTCAGGTGTCATTATGTTTGCAAAGGGGACTGGGTACTTAGTGTTCCAAATGGCGGGTATGACAGGTGCTAATGGGTACAGGCTTTCAACCAGGATAGGATTTTCTCGATAGTTGTAAAATGGATCTATTGGTGTTTATCAGTTTGTTCAATATCAGCATATTGAAGTCGATTGATTGTGTTAGAACCAAACGTGATTCAGTTTTTTTTTTACCAGTTACTGTGATTCTTGTAATCTTTTTTTCTTAAAGTCACCTTTGTTCTCTATCGTCTGTATAATTATGTCGAATGAATATTAATTTCTCTGCCGTGGGGCTTGCCATCTGATACATGGCACAAGTGACGCTATCCTTGATGACCAATTGGTGATTTGATATGCGTACAGTATTTTTTTATGGGTATTCGTCTCTTATCTAGCCAAAAGCAAAGAAGTCATAAATTGCAAATGGAATTCCTCTTCAAAGGAGCAAAAGGCAGAGAGCAATATTGTTTATAATATTATGTACATATACATTGTATTATAGCATTGTTATCTGTCATTATGCTAGGTTTTTTTTATAATTAGCCTTTTTGGAAGAGACCATCACACAAATATCTAGATCTCTCTTCTCTGTATAATATATATATTAATATATATATATATATATATTATAATATATATATATATATTATATTATATAGATACATAGTATATCATAAATATATATAATAATATATATATATATAATATATATATGTTATATATAATTAATATCTATATCTATATCTATATCTATATCTATATCTAATCTATCATTTATCTATATCATAATCTATATCATATATCTATATATATATATAATATATCATATGTATATGGTATATATATATATATTAATATATATATATAATATATATATATAATATATATAACTATATAATAATATATATATATATGGTGTGTGTGTGTGTGTTGTTGTGGTGTTGATTGGTGTGTGGTGTGTGGTGTGGTTGTGTATATCATTGATATCTTAATTATATTATATTAATATATTATATTATATAATTATATTTATATATATCATATATATATATATATTTACATTATAAATATACATTTATATACAATATTCATTTATATATATATGACATTTATATATATCTTTTATATTCAAATAATATATTATAGTATATTGTATTATATATATATTGTAATCTATCATATTTATATATATATATTTGTATATATAATATATATATATATACTATACTATATATAATATATAATTATTAATATAAGATCCTCATATTTATACTATATCATTCTTTCTATATATATTTGTGTATTCATATATAGGATTCAACTATATATACATTTTTATATATATTTATTTACATAAATTTTTTGTATTTAAATAAATATTTATTAATAATTTATAAAATTTTTTAACTAAATATATATATATATAGGATATACACTATTGATATATATAAATTTAATATTATTTTATTCATTATATTATTTATATATATACATTTTATATAAATTTGTTTTACATATATTTTACTTTAATATATATTAATATATATATGGTATATATATTTATATATATATTTATGTATTATATCTATATAACTATTGTATTTATATTAGAATATGTATATTATATGCTGCGAAATTCATATGTACTATGTATATGTGCCATATTTCATTGTATATGTTATTGGCATAGCATTGTAATGTATATGTCTATTTCACATGAATATATGTATATGTTGCACTATTCATAGATATATGTATAGTGCGTAATTCATATTGAATATGTATATTGCGTATTCATATAAATGTATATTGCGATATCATATGTATATATGTAATGCCGTATTCATATGATATATGTATATTGCATATTCATAGTATATATGTATAGAATATGTGCGTATTCATATGTATAATGATGTGCGATATTCATATCGATATATACGTATATTGCGTATTCAATATGTATACTATGCTATATTGCTATTCATAATATATGTAATGTGCTATTCACATGTATATATCTGTATATGTGCGTAGTCAATATATATATATGTAGATGCGCTATTCATATGTTATATATGTATATGTTGCGTATTCATATGATATATGTATATGTGCGTATTCATATATATATGCTATATGTGCGTATTCATATGTATATATGTATATGTGCGATCCATATGGTTATATATGTATATG